CCATTGGATTTGGATCGGATCGAATGTTCAATGTTAATCGAATTGGGTCGGCCGACTTTACTATTAAACAAGAAGTCATAGATATAAAAATTTCTTGCCACTCAAATGTTAATATATTAAATGAATTGAAAATTTTGGACAGAAGAGTTTTCAACCAATCAAATGTTGTGTTTATTGTTTTGTTGTAAATGAATTGGAAAATTTCGAGTGAAGAATAGAAAAATATAATTATGTTTTCCGAAGTTTATGTTAAATATATATAGGGACAAAATCAAATGTTAACTAAAGTTTTTGTGTTAACTTTGCAAATCATGTTAACCAATCACAATCCGTTCTTCTATTAGGTATCTTTCATGTTCACAATTTAATGCCAAAGGTAATTGAGTCATTTTATTTGTTATGTAACTCTCATACCATTAAAGAGGAGTTATAAAATCATAAAATTCCTAAAATATACATTTATAATATTGATATTTTTATTTATTTTTTTATTTTTGATCTTCCATTTTTATTGTTTTATGAGTTTTTGATTCGTGGAGAAAACACGGTAGTAAAATCTTCGGTATCGTTCAAGCTATTATGGATAAACACACTGAGAAAAAATCGACAACATTGAGAAGATTAAAATGGTTTATGGTGACAATCGGAGTTCGAGTTCGGGAAGTGAAGAAATTAACCAAATCGAATGTCTTGGTAATGGATTAATATTTTATTAAACTCGTTTTAATCGAAATTATGTTTATTATGATGTGTTGTGTTTTTCTTGTAGTTCATATTGTGTTGATAACTTTTTTATTTAATCATTAGTACGTATCTAATTCACATGTTCAAATGGAAGTACATGCACGACTCATTTTCATATTGTCATATTACCGACTTGTATGAATCATAAACCATCGTTTTCGTGTTACTTCTATCATATGAACACAAGTGTTATTCTTTAAGCTTGATACCAAATTTTTATATTTGTGCAAGTGTTTGCACCCGATGTTCATAACGTCAGGGTTTTGTGTTCATATATTTTATACGATATGAACAAGGGTGAACACGATATGAACAAGGGGTGAACAACCACATAAGACCAGAAACATATATGAACAAGRGGTGAACCTTAAAYMRTGTGGATGCAATGCATGTATAAAACTCCAATTGACAAATGATCGCTCCTGAATATGTTTATAATGAAGGAACTATTGTTCACAAGCTGTTCATATCGTGTTCATACATGTTCTTTTATTTATTTCTTTTCGTATAACAGTTATTCTTATTATGTTCATATTGTGTTCATAAATGATATGCAGCCAAAGTTCGTATATATGTCGATTTTTTGTTCGTATTTGATACAATGGTTCATATGTATATAGTTGTGTTCATATGGTTTTACATTAACAAAAATTATAGAATTTTTTGATTTTGTAACTCTCAATTAATGATATGGGAATTACATAAAAAAATTACCTAAATACCCTTTTAAACTTTGTTTACTTATCTTTATGAAATTTTAAAATTAAAAAAATAAGTTTTTATCATGATTAATCACAACCGTTTATTGAAAGATTGAATGACCAAGATCGGTTAACAAAGTTAACACAAAAACTTTGGTTAACATTTGAACTTAACCATATATATATATATATATATATATATATATATATATATATATATATATAGAGACTTGAGATCATGTGAGACCAGCCTGTTTTCGTGAGACCCGTGAGACCAGCATTTTACACTTGAAACTTCACAGCAAAAACACTGTGAAGGTTTAAAAAAACTCGAACCTTCACAGCAAAAACACTGTGAAAGTTTTAAAAAGTCACCTTCATAGCATTTTGCTGTGAAGTTTCAAGTGTAAAATGTTGGTCTCACAGGTTTCACGAAAATAGGCTGGTCTCACATGATCCCAAGTCTATATATATATAGACTTGGGATCATGTGAGACCAATGGTTTTTCGTGAGACCCGTAAGACCAATTCTCTACTCTTGGATTAGATCTACAATATGAAAATCTAAATATTCACAAAACGCCACGAGACTTCTCAATAATTACAAAATTGCCACCGTCAATTTAGACCATTAGATCATTAACTTATAAACTTGATCAATGAACATAAATTGGTCTCACGGGTCTCACGAAAAACCATTGGTCTTACGTGAACCCAATCCTGTATATATATATATATATATATATATATATATATATATATATATATATATTAACTGGTGCAATGTCGTATGATGCAGAAAATGACCGATATGAAGAATTTTAGTTGTTTACTAACAATTATAGCTTATAACAAGCATTAATTTGCCTCAAGGATTTTGTGCCTTCCTATTCAGAACCTATACATACAACATAATTATTGATACATGGCTTTGATTACATCGAAGGCTACAAAATTCAAATCTTACTTCTTTTCTCTAAAATTAATAATGCGCCCCTAGCAGCGGACTAATTAGAATTTTTGCCGAGTAAGTTCATCTCTATAAAGTTTGATCAAAGGTTCACAAAGTTGTTTAACATGTTTTTAGCCAAATTCCACCTTCGAGAGATTTTTTAAATAGAGGTTTGTAAAATTTCATATATATATATTGATGTACCGATTTAATATTAAATAAAAATTGAACAAAATACATGAATACTATACCAACCAAGCTTTATAGTATGCAACACAAGCTTTTGGATGATACATATGATCGGGTATCCTGTAGAGCTTATACAAACATATGCTTCAGGAAACGATGAAATGTTATCGAAGGCTATGCTTCTATTTCTAACGGAAACCGAAATTTGTGTTAGTCGATCCAGAAAGTCACTGTAAAAACCAATAATAGTGTCACTTAACTTGTGATGGATGAGATGAATAATAGGATAATATCTTGGAATTGGCTCAAGAATAATTGGATAATATCTTGATATGAGATCATGTATCAATTTTGGAACGATTTCAAACCCCCAACCGTTTATCCTCGAGCAAAAAGCTGTAAAAGATTTGTGAATCATGAAAGTAAGTAAAGTGAGAGAGGGGGTTTCAAATGGAAGAACAAATAGGGTTGTAAGGTTGGCCGGAGATCGGAGATGGAGTGGTTGTTGGTTGGCTCTGGCTCTGGCTCTCTCCATCCGTGTTGATTGTTGAATGTGAAAAAGGACAGGTAGGGTGATATTTATATATGGGCTTGCACAACGGCCTTATTTTCTACCCGGCCCATGTTGCGTTTTTCAAATAAAACATCACAAAAATTATATTATAAGAATAAAATATTTTTTTTTATAATTTTACATATTTTAATACTTTAAAGGAGTCGTTTACTAAAGGGTAAAGCTTAACAAATCACATTACCTTGACCAAATACATATAGCAAGGACCAAAAATTTTATCCGGTAAGAGCGAAGACAAAGATCGAGAGTCTTTCCTGGTAAGTGCGAGCGACGATTCTTACCATGGTCAGCGTTTACCAGAGAAATTATTGCATATGATACCGTTTTGGTGGAGTAAAATCTTACCCGGTGAGTAACTGACAGTGTTGAATTTTACTGGTAAGCATTTACCCTGGGTAAGTGTTTGGTAAACGGCTCCTAAGTATCATACTTTTAACTAATAATGTTTTTACCCTTGATAATAAAGAAAGAGTTAAGATTGGAGAAAACCACTTGATCAACAATAATAAGATACATTGATTTTTTTTTCTTTTCCATATACAACTTATATCCACAAAACCTGCATGGGGTAAGAGAATCAAGTGCAAAACATGTGTTGTACTAGAATCAAGTTTCAAATGGTTTTAAAAGTTAAACTTTTGGAATTAAAAACAACGGTCAATATAGTAACAAGATGTTGATTCTTATATATCAAATGTAATATTGATTCTTATTAATTTAATATGTAAACGTGATCATCGTCTAATTTGGCCAACTTCAATATTTTCTAAAAGAATTTTGTCACCGTGCAACTTACAGTATCAAACACTAGTTAATATTAAACTTACTACTCTTATTTGTAACCGACAACCGACTTACTTAACATTGTGGATCATAGACTATGATTGATAATTAGTCTATTATTTACTTATGTTTTTCTAATATATCACATTTTTTTATACAAATAATCCGTTACAATAAGATTAGGTTTATATGACACTAAAAATGTTTAATGTCGTCAAAGACCTTCTAGCCTAGTGGTAAAAGCTTGGGCATGACATAGTCATGAACCCGAGTTCGAGCCCTGGGAGGGGAGTGTTGGCGACATTTAAGTGGGGCCATGTTTAGCCTCCAAATTTGCCGGGGATTAGTCGGGCTTTGGCCTGGACACCCTTACAAAAAAAATGTTTAATGTCCTAATAGATTACTTTTTAGGACTAAACACTTGTGTTTCCTATGCAAACTGTTACAATAATTTTATAGAACGTCTTTTAATGTTTTAACAAATTTTGTAAAATACTTTTAATACGAAGTCTCGTATTAGCTTTTTTTATATGATACATCGAAAAATTGTCCTATTAACACGTATTTTATAAGAAACACTACAACAAAATCGGTTTTATAGGACATTCCCAAATCCTAAGTGTCCTAATAGACCTCTTTATAGGACTTAGTTTATAAGATCAAAAAAATAAAGTGTCATATCTAAAGGTGTTGTAATAAGTTTATATGACGTTTTTTGACGTCGTAATAAGTTTTTTTTAGAACAATTTTAATATAAATCGTCTTATTATCAACTTTAGGACACTTTTGAGAAAGTGTCATTAAACTCAATTTTTTATAGGATATTTGTTTTTATAGAATAAATTTTCAAATAGTGTTCTATAAAGTTGATAATGGGACGCTTTATATTAAAAGTGTCTTAAAAAAACTTATTACGACATCAAAAAACGTCATATAAACTTATTACAACACCTTTAGATAGAACACTTTATTTTTTTTGATCCTATAAACTAAGTCATATGAAGAGGTCTATTAAGACACTTAGGATCTGGAAGTGTCCTATAAAACCGATTTTATTGTAGTGAAATTTTTATATTTCATTTTTCCAAGTAATGTCTTATAAAAATAAAAACGAAACTTGAACATTAATCGGTCCGTCGTCGTGAATTGAAGTGTTCAACCAATAGTTTTTGCAACCAAGCGTGGGACAAAAACAACATCAAACGGAGTTGCCTTAGCGTTTGTCATGCCAGCGGTTGGAGTCATATCTACAGGTTCACCATTTGGAGTCCACATGTCAAAGTTATGTAGCAAAGTGGCTACAACCATATGTGACATTTGAAGTCCAAAACCTATAGCAGGGCATGATCTTCTTCCTGCACCAAAAGGAATCAACTCAAAGTCACCCCCCTTAACATCAACATCCTTATGGTCAGGGGTCAGGAACCTCTCCGGTCGAAACTCTAACGGGTCTGACCATATTTTCGGATCGCGATGGAGCTTCCACATGTTGATTAATAACCATGTGCCTTTCGGGACATGGTATCCAGCTACTGTGCAGTTTTCCGAAAAGGCTCTTGGACCTCCAAGCAATGCGGCTGGATATAGTCGCAATGCTTCTTTTACTACAGCTTGGAGGTAGACGAGGTTTTTTATATCTGATTCGTTTACTTGTCTATCTTTCCCGATGTGCATCTCTATTTCTTGTTGAGCCTTTACGAGAGCATAGCGGTTGTTTAGTAACAAAGCGAGCACCCAAGTTAGCGTTACAGCGGTTGTATCCGTGCCACTTACAATAAGAGTCTGCCAAAAAAATTATATTAGTACACATTAGATTCACTACAACAAAATTGAGTTTATAGGATACCCTCAATCTCTAAGTGTCCCAATAGACCTCTTTATAGGACCAAAATATAAAGTGTCATATCTAAGGTGTTGTAATAAGTTTATATGACTCTTTTGGACGTTTTAACAAGTTTTATAGGATATTTTTAATACAAAGTGTCGTATTAGCAACAAAAAGTGCCCTATAAACTCATTTTCTATAGGACAAATTTTCAAACAGTGTCCTATAAAGTTACTAATGGAACACTTTATATTAAAAGTATCCTAAAAAACTTATTACGATGTCAAAAAATGTCATATAAACTTATTACAACGTCTTTAGATATGACACTTCATTTTTTTGGTCCTATAAATTAAGTCATATAAAGAAGTCTATTAGGATGCTTAAAAATTGGGAGTGTCTTATAAACTCGATTTTGTTGTAGTGATTATACAATCAAGAATATCGATCCTTCATTATATGTAGATCATAGGAGTAAATGAAGAGTGATGTTACCGCCATCGGCACGTACGCACCATGCAATTAGCTTTAATAATGGTTTCTGCGTTATAATCCGGTGAGACGTCAGCTTCTACCACGGACATCATCACGTCCATGAAGTCTTTTTCTGGCAAAGTGGCGTCGGAAGCCCTCTTCCGGCGGTGCTCATCCAACCAATTCTCAAGCATGGAATCTAGTTCTGTGGCAACTCTTTTCATGGTCTTCTCATGGCCACCCAAATCCAACCACCCTAGAAAAGGAAGAGTGTCTGCCACCACAAACCTCCCTACGTGAAGAAACCATTCCCTCATCACTTCCCGACGCCTCTTCATTTCCTCCCAATCTTCATCGTCATAACGATCAGTTGCAGCATACCGTTTTCCGGCGACCATTCTAAGCACTGTATTCATAGTCAGGTCCCCAAACCATGTCTTCATCTCCACCAACGCTTTCCCATTCGCGTCTCTTTTCTCCCTCCAAAGCTCGAGCATGTTGTTAATGGAGTTCTCCAGTTCAAACACTTGAATAAACTTAAGCTTCTCCAGGCGGCTACTGGACAACAACTCCATGGAGACGATTTTACGGATTTCGCGCCAATACGGACCGTAAGGAGCGAATGAGAAAGAAGCATAGTTGTGTCCCAAAACCTTGGCTGCAAGGTATTTGGGACGGTTGGAAACAATCACATCGTGGGTGGTGAAGATCTCCTTAGCAATCTCCCAACTACTCACCACCAAGACTCTTCGTATGCCAAGTCGAACAGTGAAAATTGGTCCATATCGGTCAGCCATGGATGCCAAGGCTAGATGAGGAAGACTCGATGATGCTCCAAAAAGGTTGAAATGGCCAATTATAGGCCATGCACCACTTGCTTCAGGTACAGTTGTAGTGGTTTTGTTACAAATGAATCTGAAGGATAAGATGTAGAGGAGTAGAGTTATGGCCAAAGCTTCAAGTATGATGAGACCATAATTTTCTTGCAAAGGGAAGTGATCCATGAATAAATGGTGTTGGTACATAGTTCTCCAAACGTGAGCCTCCATATATACACACACACGGGGGCAGATCCAGCCTTTAAGCAATGGGGGAAGTCCCCCGGTTAAAAAACAAAAACTTTTGTTGACTAGCTTAAATTTTATATTTTCACCCCATCGTACATGGTTTCCCCCGTCCCATATGGCCAAATACTTCTCTCCCCCAAGCCCCATCCAACATACCCCTATTAATTTCCTGGATCTACCGCGCACACATGTAATTGCATTGTTATCATATCTTTTTTTTTATAGAAAAAGTCTATTTCAAATCTAGAGGTCAATCTCGTGTTCGATTTCGTTTGGATGATAATGTTCAGATTTTCAAACTCAAACATTCACATCCACAAAACTTTTGGATAAGATATTGATTATAATCTTCGAATGATATTAGAACTGTGATTTTCTGATCATATGTCAGTGAAAATACGACATTTTATAATTATACGACAATTCGTATCAAAATAGCCCCACAATAATTAAGTGATAAGAAAAAGAAATTTAATTGAACAAATCGATGGTATTTTTGATATTAGATTTATTGTAAGACATACCAGTAGATTATCGATGGCACCGGAAGCGTGATTTAAGACATGTACATTGGATGGTTTTTATATGCTCTCAAAGTCTAAAGTGTATATCTTAAAACACCATTTTGAAGGGTGGTGCCTGATTGGTTTGAGCTTGGCTCCAAAAGTCAAAAATATCAGGAGGTCCCAAGTTCAAATCCAAGGAGAAATAAAAATCATCTTGTGGCCACGGAGATTCAAATGCGGTGACTCCGGGCTATCTGCAAAGTAGGTGGTCGCCCTGGAATTAGATGGCTCGTATAGCGGGTTGGATATTCAGGTTAATAAAAAAAACACCATTTTGATGACTATAAAGCAAATTATATGTTTTACCCATTAATAATTTCTAACCTTTTTATGTCAATTAAAAACATTAATGGCAAAATCGAACAACGGAAAATAGATGGAATGGTTTAGATACTTACCAAATTCTACCAACCCTGTAATACGAAAGGCCAAGAAAACTCGATGCCTAAAATAACCATCTATATCAATTGTATATTATCAACTTTCTTTATTTGGTATTTGAAATAATGAATCGGATGGTTCTTACATGAAAAAATGACAAAACTGTTCTTGAAGCTGTTTTGAGTTGATGATGAAACTGGGTATAGAACCGTAAAGTTCTTAATATAAGTTTATGTTATGAAACTGTTTTGATGTCATTTTTGGGAAAAATGATAGATTTTGTTATGGTTATATTTTATGTTGGAATAAGGATGACATAAAAGGTGTGCCTTGGGTTAAGGGTGACAATTATGAAATTTGAATTTTAATCATATATTTTGAATGGTTGTGCTTTGAATTAACAATGTTTTTAGGTTGGTCTGGTTTCTGGGTAGTTATACTTCAAGTTATTTCAGTAAAATAAAAAGTTAATCGTACTCTGACAATATTTGATTTCATTTTGTTGATAAAATGTATTAATTTTCAAACTCTTAACATTCATATCCATAAAACTTTTTGATAAGATATTGATTAAGGGGCCGTTTATTAAACACTTATCCGGTAAGTATTTATCGGTAAAATTTAACACTACCACTTACATGTCAGGTAAGACTTTAGTCTACCAAAACGACATCGTATGCAACAGTTTACCCAGTAAGCGCTTGCCATGGTAAGAGTCGTCTCCCTCACTTACCGAGTAAGACTCTCGGTCCTTGTCTCTCTTTTACCTAGTAAGATTCTTGATTCTTATCAAATTCATCCCGTAAAATAATCTGACTTAGCAAGTGCTTATCTATGTAAGCGTTTGGTAAACGATCCATAAGATGTTTTCTTTCCAAACAAGAAGATAATAGATGTGGAAAGTGGTGGGGTATTGTTATCTACATATCTGTTTATAACGGTTAACACCACAATATATAACACGTTTTTTCTGATCGTAAGCCGGTGGGAATATGACATTTTATAGTCACATGGCAATTCGTATGAGAATGGCCCCCTAATAATCAATATATCAACAACAAAAAAACACACTCATACACACACATATATATATATATATACACTATATTATAAAACATTTGGCTAAAACTCTTAAAAACTCTTAAACTCTTAAAACTCTTAAACTCTTAAAAACTCTTAAACTCGTTCATCCCTATCCGATTTCATCCCATATCTGAATTCGTGTAACTAACTGCAGATAAACACAATCAAATACAGGATAAACATCTCA